ATTAATTACATTTGGATAAGTAGGATTTTCCTTTGAACTCTCCGTATTGAACATATATCGGATATACTCGGTCAATCGATAGATTTAATATCTTTGAACCGTTGAGCTTTGGTGTATACCTAGACAATATAAATCACACAGTCAACCCTTGAACTATTTTTGGTTCTCATTATTTTGTTCGTTTCATCCATGAACACGTCTTGGTTAATAAGTGCTTAAAGAACTGGACTTATCGAATTCTCCTTGAAGTGACTTACACTTCACACTTACATAGGTGGTTGCTAAATGTATTATCCTGTAGATACACTATTTGATATACCATATATCAAACTTAGAAACCATTAAAAAGTCTTAATGTCTTTATCCCGGTTACTGTTCATGACAATGGACAGTAAAATAATTTTTGACAATGTTGAATCGTCGGCAAGTGTTATGATGTTGAGGTCTTTGCCGGTGAGTGTTATGATCCGGAGTCTTTGTAGGCGAGTGTTATGATGTCGAGGTCTTTGCTGGCAAGTATTATGATGTCGAGGTCTTTGCCGACGATTGCTATGATGCCGAGGTCTTTGCCGATGAATGTTATGATGCTAATGTCTTTACCGATAATTGTTATTATGCCGAGGTCATTTCGGTTAGTGAATTGATATAAAACCGATGGAAAATGGTTCCGGCGATAGATTGATTATTGCGATTTATTATTATTATGTCGAGGTCATTTCCGGCTAGTGAATTGATATAAAGCTGATGTGAAATGATTCTGGCGAGAGATTAATTATTGCGATTTGATGCATTTCTATGCTTATGTGTGACTTACTTGCAATTTGTGATTGATGTACTTGTTTCATGTGATTGATCTACTTGACATTGAGATGGATTTACTTGATTTGTTTGGTTGTTGAATTGTGATAATTGAACTGTGAATATTGAGCATTATGAGCCATGTATTGTAAAACTGTTATGTTTGGCTGAATTCTATGCATGTTGTAGTATGAGGAGGTTTGGTTGGTGTGTAAGGGTATTCTATTTCTAGCTAGATGTCTTTTTTATTAGGTTGCTTGTTGGCTACCATGTGGTTGGTACTCAGTCCTTGCTTCTACACTTGTGTAGGTTTCGAGTCCGATCTAGCGTGATTGCTCTTATTCTCACTTTTCGAGGCTTGTTGAAGGACTGGAGAGGTAGTTGCTTGACATCCCGATAGACCCTCTTTTTCTTTTCTTTATGCTTTGACCTATTTGAAAAACAAAGGATGACACTTGTAATTATTTCAATTTCGCACTTTAAGTATTAGTGGTGTACACGTGATAACCAGATTTTGGGGGTTTTAATAGAAAGAATAAGTTTTTCTCTTTATCTTGTTCTTGCTTTATATTTCCGCATTTCTTTCATTTTATTGGGTTGAGGCTGACTTGTCTTGGTGAGAATAGACAAGTGTCATCACAACCATTTCTGGGCATGACAACAAAGTACTATAAGTGACATTTTTTCTCATATAAATATGATTTATATATACTTTAAAATATTGATAAAGTTTTACATAGTTTAAATCTATTAAAATATAAAAATGTCACATAAATTGAGATAAAGAGAGTACTAATAATTTAAGAAATATGTGTTATCACATAAATTGAGACAAAAAAAATATATTTAAGAAATACGTGTTAAAATGGTGACTCAAGGGTGAGGTTAGTAAAGCATTTGCTTTAAGCCCCAAACAATTTTAAATGTGAATTTTATGATTTTAATTTCACTCAAAAAAATACTGAACATTATACAAAAAGAAAGATACAAAATTTAAATTAAATAGAAAGAAAGATGAACTAACGACTATCAGAAATATTTTAGAACTTTGAATAAAATAACACAAATAAAATTTTTACAATAACATCCAAGGTATATAATGCAAACAAATAACTAATATTCTATTGGCTAGAATTAATTCTTACTTTTATAAATAATAATATTACTATGTAAAGTTAACCACTTAATGTCTTTTAAGAATATTACACGAAAAACAAATAGTATGCAAGAATAAAAAGAGAACCCTAAATTAATATTATTTTTTGTGTATATATTTAAAGTCTCTTAGTATAATTTGATTTTAGACCAATAATTTTATTCAGACGTCATTGTTTTCATTTTAAATTTGTAGAGCGTATATTTTGGATGTATTCATAATAATATAAAATTATGAATAAAGAAATGAACTATGGTGTAAAACTTTGGCTAATGATAATTTTTTTACCAATGACACAAAATGTTTGAAATCCTAAGGGGAGAGTTCCTCTATAAGAAGACACCAAAATGCTTGTTGGTAAAAATTTTAAGCCAATCGTTTTTTAAAGAAAAAATCCAGATGTAAATGCTTTAACTATTCCTTATCAGACATGAAAAAGAAGTAGAAAATTTAAGAGAATATTCTGCCAACTACATCTTTTTTTAACATAATTATTCAACTAACTAAAATTCATATATTGAAGAGATCACCATTTTAAATAAATTAGACACTTTTCAGTGAAGGAATCAAATGGATATCCTTTTATTTGGAATTTATATTTCTCAATCTCTTTTTTAAATGAAAAAAAAATTGGGTTAAAAAAGAGAAAATGAAGAAGAAATTACAAGTTGAAAAATTAAACTCTCATTAATAAAGCGAAATTCAAATAACCAACCAAATTAATGATTAACATTCTCATTTTTCAATCTTGTGAAAAAGTATCACAAAAAAATATCTTTTCAATAGTCTTCTAAATCACCATATTTTGGTATGTCTGTAACTATACTTATAAAGAAGCTTCAATTGAATACCTTCATGAAAAAAGTAATATTTAAATATATATAGGTAAAAAGAATTATGTGTATATTAGTATATAAAACTTATCGATTTCATTTAAATATGTTAAACAAAAACATAGTATACTTTCTTTTGTATTCATTTATGTAACATATTTTTTTTAAAAAATTTTAAATCCGTTTTAAAATCTATTTCATCTCAAATAACTTTTGTACGGACAATAATCCGTCTATTCATTAATATATTCAACTCATGTAAATTTGCCTAAATTTGATTCAACCTGTTCATTTTCCACCTCTAACACATGGGTACCAACAAATCTAACATTCTAACACATGGGTACCAACAAATCTAACATAGTAGTTTTTCTGTCCCAATTTATGTAAGACTCTTTCTTTTTAATTTGTCCCGAAAAGAATATTATGTTTTCTTATTTGACAACAAATTAATGGCATCATCCCTTTTATCATTATTAAGTTCCATTTAACACTTTATATAAAGAAAATTCAACTAATATAAGCATTAAAATAACTTTACTAAGAGCATGTTTGACATTGTTGTTGTAAGGCTAGAAACACTTATTTTGAGAAAAAACAATATTTTTTAAAGAAAAATTTAGCGTTTAGCAATTCAGTAAAACTACTTTTAAATGGAAGCAAAATCAGTTTTTTTGTTATTGGGAAGACGCTAAAAATTTCTGCTTCTTAAAAAACCAGAAGCAGAAAATTATTTTTTTCAAGACTAAAATATCCCTTTACATACATATTTATCAGTATATCACTTATTAATTAATTAACATATCTCATAAGTTTAGTTAAGTTTCTTCTAAGAATTTTATTTTTTATTTTTAAATAATACATTGTTTATTTTATATTACGTTTATATATTATTTTATATTTTATATATTATAAATTATATATTATTTTACCTATTATTTTAGAAGTAGAAAAAAAGGTAGCAACAATATTTTTGCAAGATTAGAAAAAAGAAAGAAAATAAGAATTGAAGATTTCCGCCTCCCAAAGAAATTTGTAATATTGATTGAAAATTTGAATATATAAATTTTAATTTAATAAAAATAAAAATTTGATTAAAACTTTTATAATAGACATGTAAAATAGTTTCTCCTTATAAAATAAGCTTAATATTAAAAGTACATTAATACTTGTTACTTTTTGTAATTTGACTCTCAAAAATACTTTTTTTTTTTAAAAAATTATTCAAACACAATTTGCTTATAAAAAACGCTTTTCAAATTAATTAGCCAAACACAAATTGTTTTTTAAAAAAAACATTTTTCTAAATAGCTATTTTAAAAAAGTGCTTTTAACAATAAGCAATTTTGAGTATCAATGTCAAACAGACTCTAAAGTTAATTTGGTAAACATCAACTCAAATAAACTGTGTCAAATAAATTGAAACCGGAAGGAGTGATATGTTAGTTCAGCCTGGGCATGTGACTCTAAATTCTTTCAAAACGCATCAGCACCACATGTTTATACATCACACGTCGAAAGTTACGTCTATTCTTTATCTATATCTATAAGCATTTCCATTTTCCTTGGTTGCTTCTACTATGAAAAAAATTAAAAGTAAGTTGTTCTTTTCTAAATTGGAAAAAATAAACTCCTCAAGATTATCAAGAACGTAACGCGCGCCCTCTTGTTTAGCTTTCAAGATATGACCCAGTGTGTATCAAGCTGGCGACTGGACGACTCCCCGTCTCATCTAAACCTTGTTCTTAGCTCTCACTCTAATTCCAATAATTCCTTTGTAACTGATGCCCCAGAGTATTTTTCTCTTCCTCTCTCTCTCTCTCTTTTTATCCTTCCATTAGGGTTTTCACCTTTTCGATTCTCTAGGTGACTCAAATTCATAATTTTAGAGGTTTGGAGGTGATGCAACGACAAAGCTAGTAGCCTGCATGAGGGTTCAGTCAAATCCAGTAGAATTTTCTCAAATAGTATATTTATGTTGATAAATTCATTAAATAAGTATAAGTAAAAAATTTGAATAGTTACTATCACTTAAAATCATAATTGTAAAATTCAGAAGATAGTTGAAATTCTAACTTCATGATTTTGAGGTGATGAGCGTGCTTAGCATCTGAGTAACCTCTCTTGTCGATTCTTACTCGTTTATTGATTTTTATTTAGCATAAATTCTAGGGTTTAATTAATATTTTTTTTTATTTTTATTGTTATGAAGGATGGATTATGAAGTAGCAGAGCTAACATGGGAAAACGGACAGGTAGTGATGCATGGCTTAGGTCCTCCACGCGTGCCTAATAAGCCTTTATCGACTCCTTCTCCAACAAAATACACATGGGAGAGTAAGCCACATGCTGCTGCAGGTGGCACACTTGAATCCATAGTGAACCAAGCTACTACTGGCATCCCTCATCACCACAACTCCCCCGTGGACGGGGGTGGAGATAGAGGAGATGATTTCGTGAGTTGGTTCGATGATTGTCTTCCTGAAACTCAGACTATTACGGTCATAGATACTATGGCCGTAGATGCCTTAGTTCCAACAAGTTCCACTAACACCCCAAACTATAATCAACAAGTGGCCCCGTCCACGCACGTGTCCGGGATGGGGATGACCAGCAAGTGTTTAGTTGACTGCTCCACACGTGTTGCATCATGCAGTGGTGATGCGGAGATGGCACGTGTGGGAATAGGATCTAGCTTTGAGAAGATATCGAAAGACTTTGGGGTCACCGAGTCTTTCGGGAATGAAGAAGTTAAGAACTTGATCAAATCAATGGTATACGAGGGACGACATAACAATATGGCTGACCAGACCGTGAGCCGGGGAGACACTATTGAAACGGGAGAGAGAAGTTTGGGTGCGGAAACAGTACTTACCACAATATCTACGGGGTCACCTGAGAACACCTTTAAGCATAGTAAAAATAAGACAGTGAATAATCATCATTTCATCTCTCATAGCAGAGCTCAAGTAAGTATATGATTTCCTTTCATGCATAGATACAGTATACTTCCTATGATTCCATGCAACACAACATAAGTTTATTTAGTAATGTGATTTTTCCTTATAGAACTTAATTGTTATTCTATTAGTAATGTGATTTTTCCTTTTTTTAAGCGTCTTTATTTTTTTTTAAATATTGTAAAATATTTTTGACCAACCAAGCATGAAAAGACAATATTTTCAGCCAAACACTACCTAAGTTTCATGTTATTATTTCACTACCATAGTTTCAAGTTATTGTTTTGGTATAACCGTTTGTTATTCGAAGTCCACTCCTAATTCAATTTTTTTCAGACCAAGTAAAAGGGAAAATCGCACTGCTCTTAGTTAAAGTTTTTATCGTTTAACTCTAAAAAGAAACTCATAAAAACTACAAGTGCACAGAGAGAATATCCATTAGTTTGACTTGACATAAAATAAAAAAGAAAGAGAGAACTTTGAAATTTATAGCAATTTAAAATAAGTGATATCATTGTTTGTGTGAGAACAGAATAATTACTACTTTTTAAGTAGTTATTCCTTTTCTTTAGTGAAGTGATATTACTAAAAAATTTTAAGATAGATATGTCAAATTGTTGGATAGTGTATTAAACTTTAGTGTCAACTCACACAAGGAGTCAAAAGATAATGAGGATGAGGATGAGATACAAGGATCCAAAATTTCTTCATTTTCAACAAAAAGGAGCAGAGCTGCTGCTACTCACAACCAGTCTGAACGAGTAAGATGTCACTCTCATGTTTCTCGAAAATACTTTATTTCTTTCAATTTATGTGACACATCTTTAATTTTAAGAGTTAAATAAAATTATTTTTAATGGTAAATTTTTTATATATTTTTAAACTTTTTGAATTGTCTATTTTTTTTATGTAGTTTATAAATATATAAATTTCATTTGTAAAAAAATTGAAGATTTCATTGTGCAAATTATTCATTTAAACTTAAACTGTTTGATTCTCAAAAAATGAAATGTGTCACATAAATTAGAACATAAAAAATAACTGTTTTCAATTAATTATAATGATGTAAAAAATGTCTTCTGGCCTGACATCATATATATAATAATAACAACAAAACTAATTTGAATTTTTTAATTGACTATTGTTTTTTAATTATTACTAGAAAAGAAGAGACAAGATAAACCAAAGGATGAAGACATTGCAGAAGTTAGTTCCAACATCGAGTAAGGTAATGAAATTAAAAAAATAATAATTTTTTCTATCAATAAATTAATTTTATAGTTTTTTCTCTGTGTTTTACAGTTGTTTGGAACTTTATGTTTCAAGAATATACTTATCTATGTTGCATCAATTTTGTCTTTGCATGAAAAATACTCTGCACTTCAGTTCACTTCTCAACCACTATTTCAAATAATTACTCCCTCCGTTTTAAATTTATGTGACATAGTTTGATTTTACATAGAGTTTAAGAAAGAAACATATTTAAAATTTATGGTTCAAAATAAGTCATATATATTATTTTTGTGTGACTATTAATTATTTTATGAAGAATAAAATAAGTATTTTAAAATTAAATTATTATTTTAAATAAAATATTATAATTAATAATTTTACTAAAGCTTGCGAGTGAAAGACATAAAAAAAATGCAAAATCCTCGTATAGAAATTATAGTAAACTTGTTTCTGCAGTCTCATATTTTTCCTTTTTCAATCATTAGCTTTTTATTCAAGTATCAATTATTACATGACATGTCAGATCGAAGAGAGAAGAAAACGAGATTAGTTCTTGACTCCTTTCATACAAATAACTAACTATTTAAGTATCAATCATTACGTAGTGTGACATGTCGGGTTGAAGAGAGAAGAAGGCGAAATTAGTTCTTGACTCCTTTCAGACAAATAACCAACTATTTAAGTATCAATTATTATGTAGTGTGACATGTCGGGTTGAAGAGAGAAGAAGACGAAATTAGTTCTTGACTCCTTTCAGACAAATAACCAACTATTTAAGTATCAATTATAAGGTACTTTGACATGTCGGGTTGAAGAGAGAAGAAGGCGAAATTAGTTCTTGACTCCTTTCATACAAATAACCAACTATTTAAGTATCAATTATTACGTATCGTGACATGTCGGGCTGAAGAGAGAAGAAGGCGAAATTAGTTCTTGACTCCTTTCAGACAAATCACCAACTACTTAAGTATCAATTATTACGTAGTGTGACATGTCGGGTTGAAGAGAGAAGAAAGCAAAATTAGTTCTTGACTCCTTTCAGACAAATAACTAACTATTTAAGTATCAATTATTACGTAGTGTGACATGTCGGGTTGAAGAGAGAAGACGACGAAATTAGTTCTTGACTCCTTTTAGATAAATATCCAACTATTTAAATGTTAGTTATTACATATTGTGACATGTCAGATAGAAGAGAGAAGAAGACGAAATTAATTCTCGACTCCTTTTAGACAAATAGCCCTCTAGGGTGAAATAAATTAACATATGGAGATTCCGCTTTTGATTGACTGCCTGAATTATCAATCACCTTAGTGAGGGTTTAATACATAGTATTATTCAACCTACTATGTTTTATCTTATTGTTTAAGCAGACTGATAAGGCATCAATGCTAGATGAGGTGATAGAATATTTGAAGCAACTACAAGCTCAAGTTAAAGCCATGAGAATGATGATTCATGTTAACATGCATCCACCCGCTATGATGTTACCAAATTTGGCATTCCAACAACAACAACAACAGTTTCAAATGTCAATGATGGGAATGGCTAGACCCATAGATGTCAATGCCCTTAGCAGCCCCAACATAACAACAATGCCTTCGATTCTCCATGCCACCGCACCCTCTAATTTCAATATGCCTCCTATTCCCTCCCCTGGAGCTGATCCTTTAGCTTCCTTCATCGCATCAGGCCAATTATCACAGGTACAATAACAAAAATAGCTCATCTTATAACTATTACATCTGTTAAATGTTAGAGATGTTATCTCCTGAATGAAAAGAAAAGAACTATTCGAGTCCATAGAACCCAATATGTCTCCTTCATTTCATATTCACACCTTTAAAACTTAACAACAGCTGAACTCGTGATTTTGAGGTATGTACATCTTGATTCTCTTACGTTATCATGAGGAGGGCATGATATTACTGTTTGTCAAAAGCATAATATTTTTTTACTACTATAATAAAATATTGTTAAAGAGCATGTACATTACAAGAGTAACATAACAATATGGAAAACTGTTTCTGATAAAACATGACGTTATAATTAATGAAATATTATTATAGAAAGATTTGACTATATGTATACTGGTTGGATTATTACGATTTAAAAAAAAATAGTTTTCTGTTTAAGGAGGATTTTAACAAGTTTCAAATTTGGAAAATTTTTGCAGCCTATGACGATGAATGCTTATAGCAGGATGGCAGCATTGTACCAGCAATATCTACAGTCGAATACAAATCATGTCTTTAAAAAATGATGTGTATAGCAATGTTCTAAAGTTTGAAAACTTTTTTTCCTTGATCAATTCCAATAAGATTGACCATGGCTTATTGACAGTTCCACTACTGAATTGGTGTTATGTTCCAAGACACTTGATGAAGAAACATAATAGAATATGTAAATATGATTTATTTATTTTTAACAGTTTCATAGCAGACAAAGTGTACCATAGTATAATATTATTTTTTCTCTTTCGCTAGTAAATGGAAGTGTGACAGTAAAAAAATGAGGATTTTTCATAAATAGATATAATTTGAATCATAATTATCATTAACAGTTATAATTTTTCTAATTATGATTCATAATAATAGCTTGAGAAAGGAGCAAGAAGCGTGAAATTGTGAAAAAGAGAGAGGAGAAATGCTAGATACATGCTAATACATGTATTTGATACATACGAGTAGAAAAATCTATGGTACCCTGAAAGACGAAGCTCACCCTGAGATGTGAAACCTTTGGGGGTTGATTTAGTAAGGGATGATCAAGATAAGGTGAAGAGTATTCAAGCTAAGCTTTTAGCAGCCCAGAGTAGACAGAAAAAGTATGCAGACCATAAGGTAAGAGATATGGCATTTCAGACTGGTGAGAATGTTCTTCTTAAGGTATCACCCATGAAATGGGTGATGAGATTTGGCAAGAAGGGCAAGCTAAGTCCGCGATACATTGGTCCCTATGAGGTTCTTGAATGTGTAGGGATAGTTGCTTATAGATTGGCTTTACCTCCTAATCTATTTGGAGTTCATCCGGTATTATATCATGTGTCCATGTTGAAGAGATATCATGGTGACAGGGATTACATCAGAAAATTGGACTAAGTTGTGTTAGACAAAGACCTTCAGTATGAGGAGGAACCGATTACAATTCTTGATTGTGATGTTCGGAAGCTAAGGAACAAGGAGATTAAGTCCGTGAAAGTTCAATGGAAGCATCATCCAGTTGAGGAATCTACTTAGGAAACCGAGAAGGACATGCGAGACAAGTATTCCCAATTGTTCATCGATTCAGGTACTAGCCCATTCCTTCCTTACCCTATTTTTCCTAAGTTTGTCACTCGGGGATTGTAACGACTCGGAAAATGATAGGTTAAGCAAGAGCTTATGACTTTGTGTTGACTTTATAATGAGGTTCTATGAGGGGTTTTTATGTAATTTCATTTTAATTGTGTTACATCCGACAATTTAAAATGAATATGAAGTAGCTTGAAATTGGAAGTAGTCACTTTTGGAAAAAGTTGAGAACCTGGAAATTTGGTTAAGTGTGGGAAATCAGTGAGTTTTTGGCCAACTTTGAGCAGTTATAACTCCTAGCTCAGGATGATCCAGGAGTAGTTCCAGTTATGTTTGGAAAGCCCTTGGAACGATCTTTCCAACGCCACCGAGTTTGCTCGATTCCGAGTTCGTATGAGCGAGTTATGCCCTTTGAAAGTTGGGCAGTGAGAAAGGAGTCCGTCCGGAAATTTAAGGGCATTTTGGTCTTTTCACAAATCTTTTCTTTTGAGGTTATATTATTGTGTTAGGCTGATTGTGGATCATTTTTGTTCCATTTTAAAAGAGTAAGAGTTAGGGTCCTTGAGTGAAGAAGAGAAGAAGAGGGGAAGAAGAAGAAGAAGAAGTTGGAGCTAGGATTGAAGATTTTGAGTTCCTTCTTCTTCAATTCTCGTGGGTTTTCAACTTAGAGGTATGGGGATTCTTTATCCTTGATTATTCTTCCTTTCAAAGAGCTCAATTCAAATGATTCAAAGTTCTTCCAAAAACACAAAAACCCTAATTTCGATTCTAAGCATGGGTTCTTGCATTAAATGATTTTTTTTTTGATGATTTACGTTATTAATGGTGTCTATTGATGGTTTTAAGAAAGAAATTTCCATGAACCCATGTCTTGGCAAGTTTCCTAAAGTTGGCTTATGAAGTGGGTTTATTATTTATGATTGAATGATGATGGAAGTATGCTTGGATTGAGTTGAATAGTTGACTTCTATTATTATCTATGCTTATCTATTGTGAATTGTTGGAGAGTTGAGGAATGGTGATTGTGGCTTGGGAAAAAGGGTAAGTGGACCTAACTTCATTGTTAAGGTAGAATTGATATAGAATTGTGATAGATTGATGTGTGATCCACTTATGGTGGAGGTGTTTACTTATTGAATGTATTGTGTTTATGACCTTGGAGGCATTATATGAGGAATTGAAGTGTTGACATGATATCATTTATATGAATGGGATGTGAAGGACTTGAATGAGAATCAAATGAAGTAAAGGCAATCATGTTGTGAATATAAAGGTGTTCATGTGATCTCAAGGTGATCTTGTTTAAAGTGTTATTGTATTGTGATTGAAAGTGTGTCCTCTATTATTGTTCATATGTGATGATGATGGAATGTGAAGGAACTTTATAATGTGATGTGTGTCTTGACTTGGTAGACTTAGGTGCCTCTTCTTGATACATTAGAAGCTTTGTTGAATATGAATCGATAGGATATGGCATTCCTTTCGGATGTAAGTGACGAAACCTGTTTTTGAGCTGGATAGTGTTTGGTATTTTAGGCATATCTCTTGCTCTAGAACTTAGTTTGCAGTGAATAAATATGATTTGGAAAGCTAACTCGTATACCTACAAATTTTATGTTTATGTAAAATTCTAATTTAACTGTTATGGATACAAAATATGGGACGCAACATAGGGCAAGTTCTGCCCAGATTCCGAGAATTGAAATCCTGCATGACCAGTGGCTAGTGTCTTGACTATATCTTTTTGTACAAAATATATTTTGCGGTGATCCTTGTTTTTTTGCAACCCTAAGAGATGTATCTACATCTTTCATGAAGGTTATAAAGTCTAGTTCTGCCATTTTCCTTTTCAAATCTAAGATGCAACATGAGGTACTAGGCTGGCCAGATTCCCTGTTTTGGGAGCATAGTTGTATTTGTACATGCTAGGCTTACTTATGATGATGATCCTATTTTACGTCATCATTACTGAGCTAATAGAAGTTAAATAAGTTATGTAATTGTATTTCTAAGGTTGATATACTCGTGAACAAGTTGAGGTATGTGGGTTTGATTGTGGAAACTTTCCTTTCCACAAGTCCAACCATTTATCCTCTATTTCTACTTCAAGTTTATGGGTCCTTATGATTATTTATGAACTCTTGAATTATGGAATTACTACTACACATCATATTATGGTCTATTTTGCATATTATCATGAAATGGAATTATTATGTGATGTTTATGGTTTTCATGCTTCCATGATCAAATTATGAAGGTTGATATCTATGTATGTTGTTGGTGGGCTGATTTATATGGATTTTGGAATTGGTTGCCTAGTACGGGGGGTAGTAGGCCCGTATAACCATATTGAGGGGTTGGTACCTTGGTTGCCTAGTACGGGGGGTAGTAGGCCCGTATAACCATATCAAGGGGTTTGTACCTTGGCCCTAGCTCGGGGGTGGTAGGCCCGGGTAACCACATTGAGGGGTTTGTACCTCTTTCGCCTCTCCAAGGGGGTGGTAGGCCATGGAAATACTATATTGATGGTCACTCACCACACATGTACTACGCCCTACTAAATATGATTTATTTTATGTAAGCATCATTATACATATCATCTCATTAATATGCTATCTATCGGGTATGATTATGCACGTTGCCTATAAAGTCCTTATCTAAGGTAATCTTGGGGAACACTTAAGTGTGCTTGAAGAAGATCATGTGGGCGGTCACTTCTTGTCTCACTCAAGTGTGTCTTAAGGTTATATTAGGTAGAGGTCCTATGGTGATAAAATGACATGTGTCCTTCTAAAGTTAAGCATGGGTTGTATATGGATTTATGTTAAGTATATGTATGGTTGGCTATGGTCTTATATGTTAATGTTGACTTGTATTATGTCTCTTATACTTGTAACGGAAAAGTTTTATCAAAGGATATGAAAGCATACATTTCTTGTAAATGTCCGTTGTGTATATTTTCTTGCATGGTCTCCATACTTAGTACTTAATTGTGCTAACCCCTTTCTTTCACTTTTTTACTAAAGTGTAGGGATTTGGAGATGGTGATATGTCATGGCTACTTGTTAGGTTTTTAAGAGTTGAAGATGAAGACTTGGTGAGTCCTCATAGATTCGAGGGCAATAACCAACATGTTCCTTTTTTTATGTCTCTCTAGTATTTGCTTAAGTTTTGAGTGGGCTTAGTCCCAATGTTGTATTCAGGTATTAGATGGTTTTGAGACATATTGTATAAAGTCTAGAAAGTCTTCCGCTTGCTATTTATTGAAAGTATCTTCATGTGTGAAGAAAGTTTTAATTCCTTATGGTTTTGGTGTCTATGCGATGAATGAATGCTAAGAGGCTTGTATTAGACCTCTTCAAGGTCGAGTACGCCGGTTACGACTAGGGGGTGCTCCCGGGTCGTGACAGGGATGAATGATGGGTAAATTGGTATCTATTGTAACGACTTGTTCCCATCATTATAGAAAAGCCAACGGGAAATTTTTTGGCCCATATAACTTTTTCATAGTAATTTGGAATTTCCCAACCTAGTCCAGATTTGGACGAATTTGGAGTCAGTACGGTCTAGGGAAATATGGTAACAATTGGATGATTTAATTATGATTTTTATCACATAAGTAGATAGCTAAGACATTAAGAAACCCGTACGACTTTACGGAATTGAATTTTGTTGAGTAGAACTCCCGAAATTGATCTTAGCGTGAAAGGGTAGTTTCTGAATTTCGTTAATTGAAGGTGTGTTGTGAAATGAGTGTGGAATTCTTAAATCGACTCAATGATTCCGTGCAAGCCACTAAGGCGGGATTATTCCCACCAGGGCAGGGCCGCTGTAGCGGGGTGAGTACCGCTATGGCGGGACAGTCGCGATTTAAGTCGGAGATAAACCCCAAAACGTCTTTATTTTACAATTTTTGTTCTTGATAGTAAGGAAACGAACCCTAGGCGGTTATTGATAGTTTTCCACATTT